TGCTTTAGTATTCTGGATTCTGCTAACAACTCAATTGATTTAAAACTCAAAGAAGCTTTTTATATAAATAAGATCAAACCTGAACTTAACAAACAATTATAGCCTGAGTGCAGCCGAACGAGAATCCCGGTTTTATTCATCTGGGAATCAGCGACAAATATCTTGTTCTGGAGTACCGAGATTCGAGTACTTCGTTTCGTTTGGTTGTTCCTTACGAGGGCGCTCATTGACTGAAAATCACTCGCACCAGGTTGCTTCATATGCCATGTTTGTTTTCCCGGGCAAGTCTTAGCACCAGCGCTCGAATGTTTTAATGGAACGCGTATGTATAGTTTGTTCGAAGAATATTATAAATAACCAGGAAAGATATCTAGTAAAAGGGAGAGGTAAATTCAATGTAGCTCAAGAACTATTGAGTCTCAAATTCACTCGCGAAAATCCTTGCGAGCACATTTGCAAGTCATGCCTGGCTTTGTTGAAAAAGCGAAGAGGACTTGTCGAGAACCTATCTAAAATTGAGGAGTTACAAGAATTGTTTGATAGGCCAGCTTCTACTATCAATAAACATCCTGAACTAAAGAGAACTGGTCCTACCGTGACAAATGAGGGTTCAACACTGAAGAAGAGCCGCTTGGATGATGAACAAGTACCTTCGTCACCTCGCTCGAACGAGCAGCTTAATTCACAACAATCGCGGTACTCTGCCAAAGAACCAGTTGAGGCACCATCAATAGCTGCAATTGATAATTCTACACCAAATAAGAGCCATTTTGAAGAAGAATGTACCTCAATCTTAACGTCAACACCTCAAGCGGAAGGATGTTCCAGCGTGTCTACGAGACAACAACAAACGCATGAATCTAACCAAGAATTTGGCGAATTATCTCCGATTGCTGGCAAACGGCCACTGCTGAAAGAGAAACATAATGTACACATCCATGTGAAGGTTCAATAGCCATCCAAAGAAAAAGAACGAAAACTTCCTGAAGATTTAGAGTCACTTGGCAAAATGCGAAGTACTGATATTACTACCCAGATCTCCATACCCCAGAACAAGATATTTGTCGCTGATTCGCAGACGAATAAAACCGGGGTTTTCGTTCGGCTGCACGCAGGATAAACAATCACAGCATTATAACACTTTTCTAGCGTTTTAGTTCACACCTTTGATGTTTGGTGTCACGTTGTAATTAGTACCCGCTTTTGTATTACATCATACTGTAAATATTTCTTTCATCTACTTGTCTGTTATATAATTACTCACGTTCTGCTACTCATTGATTGAAGATGGCATAAGCATGCCGAAACATGTCTCTCAAAAAAGTTGTCTATTTCTTACAATATGATTTTTTAACTTACAAAGTTGACTCAGAGCAAGTCAACTTTGAACACGTTACAAAACTGCTCGAACCTTCGACCCTGCTCAAAAAAAGAGTTTCAGAAAAACGTTTTAAAAATGGTGCTACCAGCTCGCTATTTCCTAACAGCATTCTGATTATTGAATGGCAACCGTTTGAAGCCATCTCATCTTACATCGAGCACATCGCACAAGATCGAGATAGATATTTTGTTTGTTCGTCAAATGGTTGTTAGGGCCAACTTAATCCCTCATCTTTCAGTCTAGGCAACCAAATGGACTCTTTTGGATTCCTGGAGCCATTGGTGCAATCTGTAGGGAATATAGCCGAATGTGTCTGAGTTTCCTAAACAGCTTAAGTATCTCGTCAAAGTCACTTGCTTTTGCAAGTCATACAACCACTTGCTCTTCTTTCAGACATGGAATTAGACGTTTGTTTTTCCTAAAATACAATCTTTTCGACAAAACAGGGTTGCGGAAGAACTAAGACGGTGAAACAGTCTTGATCCCATGTTTGAGTTCGTGAAAGCCGTACACCAATGATAGTAGTCACGTCTACCCATGATAGACTGACTGAAAGCACGAGTTCGACAGCTTGTATGTGACAACATGTGGAAAAGAAAAATAAGGTAACAATGACAAGAGTTCTTTCCATCGTTAAAAGTGTTTTTCTTGCAAGAATGACAACTTTTGACTTGTGCACTTGGAACGATCTAGAAAAACACAGAGATTTAGCCTGAGAAGCTGGTCGTGGGATAAATTCTCGGAAAAACGCAGCTGTCGGCAACCCTTGGAACGGCTCATGTGCCAAGTGCATGGAGCTGAGACGTGAACCCGTAAGAACTTCAAAGATGCTGGATAGAATCTAAACATAAAGTTAACAAGGTCTAATATCGTAGTTTTCTTCGCGCCGTTATCAACACGCAAACGAAATGTTTGAATCGTTGTTGCGCCGTTAAAGTGCAAGGTATCGTTTTGATTTACTCATGCTTTTGTGAACTGGCAGGAAAAGAAATGTATAGGAAGCAACAAAGAATCAAAGTACAAAGTCAGGGAGGATAAGCTTTGTTGTTGGCAACGACTTCAGTTAACAAACGACTCTTTACTTTATTCGCAAAAAATGCAAACTGAGTGATCAAATTGGATTTCGAAACACTCTTTGCGCTCCTTTTTTTTTTGCAATGTTGTCACAAATTTAAAACATTACTGAATTAACTTCTCTTAAATACTTATGTCGAACGTGTAATAACCAGTAACGTCCTTAAAAAAAACGCATGGGAACAAAGCATATTATTATTACTGCTTCTATTTCATAGATCGTGATGCCTCCAACCGCTCAGGTCAGCTTCAAGGATATACATTTTTTGGATAGATTCACCATTTCTCATACTTTTAACGCTTGGAAAGTCCTTCAGAGCTTCTTTGCAATACTCGGTAAGAGAGGGATCTTGATAGGTGCTAAATAGAAAGCTTCTTTGTGCAGTTTGACAGGCACTCATCAACTGATGGATCACGTGGGACTGACAAAGCTTTAAGTCCTTAGCGTAAATTGTTGAGGTCCATAACATTCCAGAATCAAGCTGCACGAATCTTCCTAGACTGAAAGATGATGGCGTCAAGTTTCCGTGACAACCACCTGACAAATCTATTAAATATCGATCCTGTTGCGACATGATGTCCTCGATATTGGATGGGATGGCTTCAAAAGGATGCCAGTCAATAACAAGAATATTGTTAGAAAATAGCGCAGTGGTACCAGCGTTGTCAAGGATACGTTTTTGGAATGCATTCTTCGTGCACGGCACAATTTTCGAGAAGTTTTGTAATTTGAATCCAAAATTGACACGCTTTGGCTCAACTTTGTAAGTTAGAAAATCGTAACACTGCACTTCTTTATCTTCCAACTGAAGTTTTAGGATTGCATTTCTGACTGCCTTGTACATTCCAGACCACAACGAGTACCTTAAACGCGCCACCGTCGGAAATTCTTCCCGGGTTTGCTCAATCCCAAATTTAATAAGAGAACTGTAAATGCCTTGATGTCTATGATTAGGATCAACTCTTGCAGCGTCAAGAACCATGGACTCCTTCCGGTCAACGACGCTGCAACCGATAAACCCTACCACTTTCGTTTCTTTTTCAGCAACCATAGTGATTCTGTTGGGCGCCGCTAGCCATTTATGGAACCTGTACGGAACATAATCAAATCTGTCTTCTATCCTCTTAGACAGCTTTACTATCTCGTCAAAATCACCAGCATTTGCAAGTCTAATAGCTACTTTCCCCTCTTTCAGATAGGAAAGGAAGCATTCGTTTTTCTTAACAAAACGATGGTTTCGAAATGTTATGGTTGTTGAGAGGCCAGGTCGGTAAAACAGTCTCAATGCCATATTTAACTCTGTGGAAGCATTCAATAACACACAGTAATCGATGCAAATTAGTGCACATAAGTTAACTCTAGTCTCAGTCATTTAAGCGTAACGTAATTAGAAGTTTGACTTTGGCAGTCAAAGATAGATTGTTTGATCATTGAGTAGGTTGCGGTTCATTTGTCACATTCTCGTGAAAGTGTTTGGATTGTTGCTCCAACAACACATATGCGTGTTTAATATTCCAAGGTCAGTTGTCCAATCAAAAGTGCCTAGCTATCATATGTGAATACATAAGTGAGTACTATAGAGAAGCAGTCTGGAGAGGAGTTGAGGTGCATCAGAGTTAGAGAGAGAGACACACAGACACAGTCGCAAATTAAAGCTATTCAGAGTATTGTATTGTATTGTAATCTTTATTTAGACACGATCAATTCATCAGCCTATAAAAATACATATCACATACGCTAAGATATTTAAAATTAAAACTACATACTATAACACTAAAGCTGTTTTCCGTGAATGCCGTGCGTTAGACTTAAAGAATGTCATTGATCTTACGTTTAAATAACCCCAGAGACTCTGTGTTCCTTATATCGCGTGGTAAACTGTTCCATAATGTGGCGCCATTGTAGCTAAAGCTTTTTCTGTAATAATTAGTGCGCGGTAGTGGAACATTAAGCTTATTTTCAGAGTCCCTGAGGTCATAAGCAGAGTCACGCCACGTAAACTTTGAATATAGATACCTTGGAGCTAGCCCGTGCAGACATCTAAACATCATGGTGGCTTTATGGATTTCCTGCTGGCGTGCAAGATTTTTCCACCCTAAAAACTCGAGTAGCTCAGTTGCATCAGCATCATAGTTAGAGAATGTCAACACACGGGCTGCTCTATTCTGCAATTTCTGCAGTTTGTCTCGTAGCGTTTTCCCACAGCTACCCCAAACAATGTCACAGTAATCAAAGTGAGGTTTTACTAAAGCTTGGTAGATGAGATGTAAGGTTGATGCTGGGATCAGGTGCCTAATTCGCTTTAGGGCCCCGATACCAGAGGCGATCTTTTTCGTTAGTTTTTCGATGTGACTATGCCAATCGAGTTTATCGTCTATTATTACACCAAGCGATTTTGTAGCTGTAACCTGGCTCACTTGAGTATTGTTCATTCTAATTGTTGGTGAAGCTGTGAGAGTATTCAGTCTCTGCCTCGACCCTATTAGCATGAATTCGGTTTTAGTCATGTTCAACGTGAGTTTGTTCGCTTGTAGCCAGTTGAAGACGTTTTCTAGGTCTTCATTTAGACAAAACTGAACGTTCTCAAGATTGCTTCCCGCATATGTGAGGTGCGTGTCATCGGCATACATTCTCGGTTTACAATTTGATAAGCAATTTGGAAGATCGTTGATATATAATAAGAACAATAATGGACCGAGGATGGTCCCTTGAGGGACGCCGCAAGTCAACGAGTAGCTACTGGATAGCGACCCGTTGACAGAGCATTTTTGTGTTCGGTTTTCCAAATATGACTGAAACCATCTGAAAGATTTTCCATGTATACCATAATAGTTTAGTTTCGATAGAAGGATCTGATGATCAACAGTGTCAAAAGCTTTTTTCAAANGGTGAAAAAATGCCAATAGGAGAGTCAGGTGGTCTGTACCAAGTAACAATCACAAAAGATTTTGAATTTGGCTTATGGATTTCCAAGCAAAGATTTTCTAGTGTATCCATGTGTAGGTCATTTCGTACTGTAAAGTTGATTGAAGTTTTTACATAGAAGCATACCCCTCCGCCGCATTTTGTTAGTCTATCGCGGCGAACTATTTCGTATCCCGGAATATGAACTTCTTGATCTCGAATACTCTCGTTCAGTTTCGTTTCATTTATGGAAACAATATCGATATCATTGTTTGCTAATATGATTCTTAATTCGTCTATATGAGCAATTAATTGATTAATATTGAGTGATGCCATTCTAAAACCGCGCAAAGGAGGCAATATTGAGACAGATTTTTCGGCCTTTTGGTTGTTTAATTGATCCCGCACGGTATTGACGGACAGCACATTATCTCATTCTGGGTGCGATTTAAAATTATTATAAAACTGCTCATTACCTTTAAAATTTAAGTGCAGTCCACCTTTGTTGAGTCCACTATGAGATATGTTTACATCCTTTAGGAATCAGTAGCCACAAAAACCATATCTTTGGATCTACTGGACATAACTTGCAGATTCTAACTGTAAAATGCTCTTCCTTCGAAAAAAAATGTCTTCTTTAATTTACTTAATGCACCGATCACACCTTTCCAGATATTTCTGCAAGGAAACGTTTTGTTTTGACGCGCCATCCTGAAACTATTTGGAGATGTTTATTGTTTTCTGTGGTACTCCGAAACAAAGAATAAGTACCCCCGAGAAACATCGGGTCAAAATTGGGTCAAGATCGGAATTGTAACGTTACCCTTTACTTGCTAACTAACTCATCTCGACAACGTACGTGGCTTCGTCACCTATGGGAGGCAGTTGCCACAATCACATCTTTGGATCTAGTGGGCATAATTTGCAGTTTGAAACGGGAAAACGCTTCCTTCGAAAAAATAATTTTCCTCTTAATCTACATGATGCGCCGATCACACTTTTCGAGATATTTCTGTAGGAAAAAACTTTGTTTTTTGACGCACCATTCTGAAATTATTTTGAGATGTTTATTTTTTTCCGTAGTACTCCGAAACAAAGGATAAGTAGCTCCGAGAAATATCGGGTCAAAACTGGGTCAAGATCGGAGTTATATTTTCACTATCACTCACTTACTCATTTCAACAACATATGTGGCTTCACCTCCTACAGAGGGCAGTAGCTAGAAAAATCGAAATGGTCATCCTTTAATGATCTTTAAGAATGGAAAGCGCGATAGGGTCAACCGAGGATAAATAAAGCCAGACATGATAACACTTCAAGCGTCGTAAATTTCCCCATTAATACTATTGCTTGGGATTTCTTGCCAGTAAGCAATTTGATGGCCGTACTCTGTTTAAATGTTCAGAATTTTTTTAATCTTCATACCAATTAGTTTCACAGGTTAAAAGCTACGTGGTTTTTGGTCCAGGATACCTCAAATTTACATTGTCAGCATCCAGGGTTTTACGAGGAAAATCTAATAGTACGTAAACGGATTCAAATCATACATCTTGTGTTTTCTATCGTCTTCATTTTATCAGCAAACAAGAAGATGAAAATTGAAATAAAATGCATCCCTTAATGTGTGTTTGTTTCTTTAATGTAGAGAATTCAATGGCATCGTCCTAACGGGCTACAAAACTTGAACTCAGTCGTTGGCGTTCAAGATTGAATTTTCACTAGTGATTACGAGAATGACGGAACATTAATAACGGGGTTCAAAACTGTTTTTTCCGAAACCATCAATAAATTAATAAAGCTCTTGAGGAGACTTGGAGCTATGAGCAACAACGAGTACTACTGATTCGATTTTATACCTTGCAAAGTTCCCCTGTACAGGATTTCTTGAAATTAAGCGCATAAATAGGTAGGTAAATTAATAGAAATAGCTCAATACTAATTATACACGAACTTATGATAAATAAGGCATGTAACAAAACCTGTCCGAGTAAACATAGGTAATCTACATAAAAAGTGGTAACTGGGATATAGGAGATATGCAGTAAATCAGAGGTTTTTGAAAATGAAAAAGACCATCTTCAAATCTATTCTTTCATAGGAAACGTATAGATAATGAGGGGTGTTCTCTCACTCCCATACAGAAATGAAAATCATGCTTATAACTTCTGTCGCAAACTATTTTTGAATTGTGCTGCCTTCCAATTTACCCTCAATGTAACCTTGTAACACCTGGAATGCCGTTAAGGACTTCTTTACAATACTTGGTGAGGGAAGGATCTTGATAGGTGCTGAATAAAAAGCTTCCTTGTGCATTCTGACAAGCACTCTTTAACTGATGGATCACGTGAAACCGACAAAGCCTCGAGTCCTTAGCGTAGATCGTCGAGGACCACACCATCCCGCATAACAATTGCACAAATCTTACCAGACTGGAAGACAGTGGATTCAATTGGCCCTGACAACCATTTGATGAATCGACAAAATATCGATCTCGGTCTTGTGTGATGTGCTCGATGTTGGATGGGATGACTTCAAACGGTTGCCAGTCAATAACCAGAATGTTGTTAGGGAGAAACGAACTTGTACCAGCGTCTTTCAGAACGTTTTTCTAAAACTCTTCTTTTAGGCAGGGTCGAAGGTTCGAACAGTTTTTTAACTTGTGTTGAAATTTCACTTGCTCTGGGTCAATTTTGTAAGTTAAAAAATCGTAGTAGTGCAGTTCTTTATCGCTGACCTCCTTCTTTTTTATTGAATTCTTCACTCCTTGGTAAAGCCCAGATCATACCGTGTACCTTGTACGAACCACCTTTGGGAATTTGTCACGGGTTAGCTTAAATCCAAGATACCAAAGCGATAATACTTTTATTTCTGTGATTAGGATCAACTCTTCCACCTTCGATAACTACTGACTCTTCACAGTCAACAACGCTCATTGTTGTGAAACCCATCACTTTCGATCCTTTCTCAGCGACCATACTGATTCTGTTGGGTTCTGCAAGGCATTTGTGAAACCTGTGAGGAACGTAGTCGAAACTGCCTTCCATCCTCTCAGACAGCTTTCACACTGCGTCAAAATCACCAGCATTTGCGAGTTGCACAGCCTCTTTCTCGTCTTTCAGATAGGAGAGGAAACGGTTTCCTTTCACCAGCCTGAAAAAACGATGGTTTCGAAAAGATATGGTTGTTGAGAAACCAGGGAGGTAGAACAACCTTAAAATCATGGCCACGTTACTGCACATTAGTTGACCTTGTCTTATTCGTTCTAACGTTAAGAATAGGGACCTTAAGCATCGACAACGAAATGGCACATCGACGACAGGCGGATGTAAAATTTTCCCGCGCGAGCGTTCTGCGCATGTGCGATATTGTCAAAACGTCGTCCAGCCT